ATGGCCAAGTCCTGGTCGAACCGAGCCAGTCTCTCTAAGACCCTTCCGTCTGAGTTACGCAAAGCTGCTCAGCTGAAAGGCTGAGCTTCAGCAGATGGTGTTTCCCTCTCCCAGCACAGGGAAACCAAGCTTTCCATGCCCCGCACCCCCGCGGGGCAGACCATGCCTCCCGGCTCTGTCCGGAGCACATGCTGCCTGTCCTTCCCACTGGCAATTTTGGTTTTATCACACTGAAACCCTCCTTTCTTCACTCTCCCAGCAGTCACCACTTCACTCAGTCTTGCAGCATCTCTTCTCACTCATCCCATCTTCACTCCTACATCCTCTGCCATCAACTTCGGCGCTTTGCCAGGTATTAACACCGTGGAGAGGTTTTACTGCTGCGGTCACACAGCCTTTTAACCAGGCTTTAGCTCTGCCCCCGGCTGCCTTCCTGTGGTTACGGGATTGAAGGTTTCAGGGCCAGCAACGGGCAGTCTTTCATTCCCTTTCAGCTTTCATTATCCTCTGCCAGCCAGCGACGCCAGCAGCCGCTCCACGGCCGGGGCAGCCACAATGGGACGCTGTGCCCTGCTCGCACTCAGCAAACACCACCCAATCATCGGGATCCAGGCAGCCACTAATTTTCAGGTCAGCAATTAATGCCATCCGTCAGACCAATGTCCAACTGCAAGTCACCCCAAGCCAGCTGCCGGGCCCGCTATTTTTAAGACCTTGGAGGAGACCTTGGTTACTGGCCGTGGTCCGGCAAACGCCCTGGAATGGAGGTGCTGGGTGCCCTCAGGTGCCAGAGTGTTTCAGACCAGCAGAATGAGCTGTCCCCTTTGCCAGTCAGTCTGGGTGGTTTTAAGCACCAGAGCTGCCACAAAGACCCCAACCGAGTGACCAGCCTTCTGATGAGAACCCAGCAAGACCATACCTGATGAGCGTCCCCAGCCTCAGCGCAGCAACTGACGCTGACAGCGACCTGTGCTATGGCATCTCGCACCATGGAAGAAAACCCCCGGAGAGGTGACCCCATGAGTGCACCTGCATCGCACCCACCTGCCACGGTGACATTGTAGAAGACAGAGTCCCCACCGGCATCGCAGACGAACTCCCCCGTGTCCTGTGGCCGGGCACACGGCAGCACCAGCCGGCACCGCGGCCCCTCCTGCTCCAGCACCAGGCTCTCGCCCGCCTCCACCTCCTCCCCGTCCTTGTACCAGTGCACTGGGGCTGCTGGGCGGGACAGCTGGCACCACAGCTCCACGCGCTGCCCGGCCACGTAGGCGTGGGGTTCCTCCTCGTTGGAGCCGACGATCCTCACTGGTGCCTCTGCCGGGGAGAGACACGGGGCTCAGCACAGGCACCTGACTGACAGCAGCTTTCACTCCCATCATGGGGACATGAAGAGGGGCAGGGACACTGCTGTCAGGAGGTGGGGGTCTACGCTCTCACGTGCAGTCCCCAGCTCACCGGTCACGGTCACCACGAAGCTCACAGAGTCATCCCCGGCGTCGCAGGTGTACACGCCGGTGTCCAAGGGACCCGCCGAGCGGAGGAGCAGCCTCCGCACGCAGCCCTCGGCCTGCACGGCAATAACATCATCCAGGGGCACGGCCTCGCCGTCCTTCAGCCAGCAGACGGGGGCGTCCAGGGGGGACACCTGGCACTCCAGCAGCACGGGCAGCCCTGTTGGCACCTCCCGGAGCTTCTCGGCCTCGGGCACCCGGGCGATGTGGACCTGCGGAGCTGAGAGGCATCACAGCGGGGTGAGGAGCATCCTGCAGCATGAGAACCCCTGCTGCTCTTCTCCCGGCTGGACCCCAGGGTGAGCGCCCTGCTCACCTTGCACGTGCAGCGTGGCCGAGTCCCGCACGCCACCGGACACAAAGGTGACCTGGGCCCCATTGTCAGCCAGCCGTGCTCCTCGGATCAGCAGTGAGTGCTCGGTCCCACGGCACTGCATGCTGCACCGGCCACCCACCTCCTCTTCCTCCTCCTCCTCCTCCTCACCCAGCCTGGCGCCGTTGAGGAACCAGGCACCGCGCACTGCTGCCGACAGCTCCAGGGAGAACCGTGCGTCCTCGCCGTCCCGCACCCTCACGTCCCGCAGACCCCTCTCCAGGCGAGCTGCTGGGGCTGGAGCAGGGACAGGCTCAGCCCCGGCGGCACC